GCGACGCCAGCAGCTCGGTCGCCTGCAGGCTGATCTTCTGCTTGCTCGCCTTGGCAAAGTGGGTGGCGCAGATGCACAGGTCGGCAAAGGAGCCGTTGACGATGATGGCGCCAAAGTGCTTGGCGTTGAGCTCGCGCACCAGGTCGAACGCGTAGGCCGACACGCGCTCCGAGCTGGCGTTGGAGGCGGCGCCGAACACGCCAAACATGGTGCGCCAGCCGGAGCGGATGTTGTTGGCGCGGCTCTGGATCATCTGCTCCAGGCACTGGAGCACCATCTCCTTGGCGTCGGCGCTGTTGTTGCGCAGCATCGTCACCTCGAACGGCTTGAGAAAGTCTTTCTGGAACTTGAAGTGCGGCAGCTCCTCCTTTTCGAGGAAGCGCATCGCCAGCTGGCGCAGCGAGTCGAGGCCAAACGCGCTGACGCTGACGTTGGGGTGGCAGCAGACCATGTTGAAGTGCTCGCCGAGGATGGCCCAGATGTGGCTCCACTCCATGCGGATGCGGCCCATGTTGTAGTATGAGATCTCGACGAGCTTCTGGAGCGAAAAGAGGCGCGGGCTGTCGGTCATGCCCGACGACTGGATCTCCTCCCACGACACGTCCGAGAGCGACTGGACAAAGTCGACAATGGCCGTGCCGGACAGGCTGGCGCTCGACGAAAAGATGCGGTCGGCGGCCACCGTGACCTCGGACGACGCGCCGGCCTGGACCACGTCGTCGTTGGGCAGCGCCGTCTGTCTCGCCGCCGCCGCCGCTGACGCCGACGCCTTGGATCCGCTGCTGCTGCTGCCAGTTCCGCCGGTTCCGCCGCCGCTGGCGATGGCGTTGGAGCTGCGCCGACCGAGCTCGGGCAGGTGGCGGCCGTCGACGCCGCCGCTGATGAGCTGGAAGCGCTCGAGCTGGCTGACGCAGGTGAGCACCTCGCGCCAGCTGCCCTTGAGGTAGTTGCCCTCGCTGTGCGCCACGCCGAGCAGCGTCTTGATGGCCTCGACGTTCTTGCTCTTCATCTCGCCCAGGTTGTTGAGGAAGGTGAATTTGGCGAGCGTCGTGACAAAGGCGTTGCGCTCGAGCTCGAGGCCAAACAGGCAGACGATCTTGATGGCGTCGCGGAAGCCCTCGAGGCACCGGTCGACCACCTCGGGGTCGTCCGAGTCCTGCAGCGGGCCCGAGATGCCCGCGAGGAACGGCATCCAGGCCACCTCAAACATCGGCTTGACGTGCTCAAAGTGCGAGGCCGAGAAAAACTGCTCGGCCGCGGCGCGCTGCTGCGGCCCGACGCGGCGCTGCGCCCGCACCATGGTGCGGAAGAGGGCCTCGGTCTTGTGCGCCATGCCCTCGGACTGGAGGACGTAGGCCTCACGCTGCAGGTCGCGCCCAACGGTGGCGATTGCGCCCGCCAGCCCGCCGCTCGGCGTCGGCGGCACGCCGGCGCTGCTCAGCACCTCGTCCTTCATCTTGATCTCGTGCGTCTGGATCTCGTCGTAGACGGCGCGCAGGTAGTCCTCGGGCAGGTCCTTGCCATCGTCGATCCCCAGGTTGTTCTTGATGAAGTCCTGCAGCGTCATCCGGTGCTTGACCTGCGGGTTGTGCGCGTCGGTGTTGAGCATGATGACCGAGTAGGCAAAGACGTAGGCGGTGTCGGCGTTGGCAAACGCGCCCGGGTTGCCCGCGACGTAGCGCTCGGCGAACTTGAGCATGTACCGGTCGATCTTCTGCGACTCGCCGGGCAGCCTGAAGGCCTGGAGGAAGCGGCGCAGCGCATCGGTGAAGCCCATGTCGGTAAAGTTCATCATGTCGACAAAGGCGTGCATGATGGCGATGTTTTCCGGCTCGCCCTCGCCGAGGTACTCGCCGATCTGCGCCTTGTTGAGGCCGTCGGCGAAGAGGAGGAAGCGCGCAATCTCGCGCGGCTCGCGCGAGCGGATGAAGCCGTGCTTGATCAGGTCCTCGATGCCGCGCTTTGGCTTGAAGTTGAACTTCTTGATGGCCTCGATGAGCGTCGTCTTGCGCTGCTTGGCGCTCTCGAAGCGGCCCGGGTCGTCGGTGGCCTCGGGCGTCTGGGTGCGGCTCGTCTCGGACGCTCCGGCGCCGTTGCTCGCCGAGCCCAGCACGGGCGTCGCGCTGCCGCTCTCCATGAGGTTCTCGCGGTCGAGCGCCGTGACCATCTCGTTGCCGATGCGGACATCCTCGCTGATCCGCGGCGACGAGCCTGACACGCTTCCGTCGCCCGGGCCGAGGTGGTCGCCGCTGCCGCCTGGCGCCGATGAGGATGATGCCGCCACCGCCGCTGCCGCCGCCGAGGACCGGTTGGACCACATCACCAGCGACCGCAGCACCGAGCAGAGGCAGTCGAGACTCTGCCGCTTCAGCCGCGCCTCGACCGAATGGCTCGACCCGGACGAGCCGCTGCCGCCGTCGTAGCCGCCCGCTTCGCCCGCTGCCGCGGTGCTGAGGCTGGGCGGGATGGCAGGGCCGCCTCCGAGGCCGACGCTCGACGACCGCTGCAGGGGTCCGCCGCCGTTGCTGCCGGCCGATGATGCGCCGTCCTTGCCGTCCGCGAGCGCCGATGCCGAGACGTGGGTCTGCGAGATGCGCGAGATGACGTTGAGCAGGCGCTCGTAGACGTTGTCGAGCGCCGAGCGGTCGCAGTCGTAGTTGAGGTAGATCTCGACGAGCGCCTGCGGGTCCTGGCACAGACGGATCATGACGTTGAGCAGGATCGACTTCTGCTTGGCCGTCGACGTCCGCATCTCGAGGATGGGCAGGAAGATCTCGTTGAGCAGCACCTCGATCTCCTTTTTCAGCTTGGTCCGCATGCCGTCGAGCACGAGCCAGAAGATCTCGCAGCTGATCTCAAAGACCTGGTTGACGCTGCTGACGGCGTTGCGGCTGAGGCTGAGGCAGAGGTACTGCTTGACGGCCTGCACAAACGGCGTCTGCTCGCCGGTCGAGGCGCTGTGGATGATGACGCTCGGGTCCGTAAACATGGCCATGTGCGACTTGATGATGGTGAGGATGAGGTGCAGCGAGAGCAGCTTGGACCGCATCGCGTGCGACTTGAGGTCCCGCTCGCTGTGGAGCGGACAGCGCAGGCAAAGGGGCACGCATCGTGTCAGCGTCAGATCACCTTCGCTCCGCAGACAGCATCGGCCATCGACTCACCTCTCGGCTCCCAGCGGCTTCATCGTCAGCTTGCACAGCGCGCGCATCACGAGGAAGGCGTCCTTGACAAAGAGCTCGGCCGTGCTCATGTACGCCAGGCTGGCGCCCGTGTCCCTTTCGGACGCTCCCTCGAACGACTTGCGCGTCTCGAGCGTCTGGAGCGTGATCTTCTCTTCGCTGGCCTGCCCGTCGGCGGTCGTATCCGTCGTGGATTCGGCCTGCTCCGTCTGGGCCCCTTGGTGATCGTGGCCCGCACCGTCCGCGCGATGACCGTCTGCTTTGCCGGCCGCAACGTCGGTCGAGCTGTCCGTCGACGACATCCCGCCCGGCACGCTGCTGGTGCTGCCGTGGCCGTTGCCGTTGCTGCCGGCGGCGGGAGCGGTGCCGGAGCCAGACCGCGGCACGCGGGCAAAGACGTGGTGGACCATCTGGGTCAGGCTGCCCTGCGCGATGGCCTGGTTGGCGGGCGATTTGCTCATGAGGAAGATGTTGTAGACGGTTCGCACCGCCTTGAGCAGGCTCGACTGGTGGACGTGGACCGTCGTGGAGAGGACGGAGCTGAGGAGCGCCTTGATGATCTGGAGGGCGACCTTGTCGTCGAGCGCCTCGTGGTAGCAGTCGCACACGGTCTCGGTGACGAGATCGGCCAGCGTCTGGGGCGGCTGGCCGTTGGGCTGGGGCTCGTGCTGGCGGGCGTGGGCGAGCGGGTCGTCTTCGGCAAAAAAGGCGTAGCTGACCAGCTTGCCGATGCAGTCGAGGCTGGTGATGGTGAGGTTGTTGTTCTTGGTGCGGCAGGCGAGGCGCAGGGGCTCAAAGACGACCTTGGGGTCGAGCAGCGCCTGGTCGCCGTCTGGGCCGGGGGCGGGGGCGGTGCCCGAGGCCGCCTTGACCATGTCGAGCGCGCGGCTCGCGGCCTCGCGCAGCTCCTTGTCCTTCTTGGCCTCCTTTGAGCCCGAGATGGTCTCGAGGGCGGTGATGACAAAGACGGCGCTGCCCTTGTTGAGGCTCGAGAGGCTGGAGCGCGAATGCATGCCGGTGGCGGTGGTCGACGACGACGAGCGGCGCGAGACCGAGATGCTGGAGCGCACGGCCTGCTGTGCGCTCGACGAGTCGGCGTCGGACCCTCTGGCATGGTGCTGGCTGGCTGCTGCGGCGACCGCCTGCGAATGTGCTGGCAGTGCGTCCTTGGAGGGCGGATGCGGAGCATCGGGCTGCGCCGGTGCCGCCGGGTTGTCGGCTTGGCCGGACGGCACCGGCTCGGCGCTGACTGCAACTGCCGCCGTCTCTGCCCCCTCGGCCCGCGATGGTGCGCTCGCTGCGGTCTCGAGCCCGACCTCGCTGCCGGCGTTGGACGCTCTTGACAGGACAATGTCGGGGACCGGTGGCACGGTCTCGTCTGCCAATGTTGGCGGTCCTTGGCCTTGTGGTGCTGGCGCAGCAGGTGCCGGGGCTATCTCATCTGGTGCTGGTCCTGAGGGTGCTGATGACGGTGCATGCTGCTCGGCTTCCTCTGTCAGTGGTGGTGGTACGTCTGGAAGGGAGGCGGCAGCTGGCCGCGGCTCTGCTGAGGATGGCGGCTGCGACTCGGAGTGTACGGTCTGAGCCGAGTCGTCGTGGGAAGCGGTGTCTCCGGCCTGACGGCCTTCGGCGCTTTCCAAAGCCTGGTCTGTCCCGGTCGGCTGCTCCGGTATGAGGGAAGCGTGGCCGGTAGGGAGCTGCGGCTTGGCCTCCGATGCCGGAGTGTCGTCGACGGCGTGGTCCGCCATTCGGAGAGAGTGGACGCAGGCCGAGGACGCGCGGCGGCGAGTGTGGGCCAAGAGGTAGGGGTTGAGCTCGAGATCAGCAAGTCCGGCGCTGGCCTTGGTCAAGGTTCAACCGCGGCGGGCGTCGGTGGGATCAGGCGTGGGGCTGTGCGGGCGTCCCCTTGCGGCTGCGGCCGTGCGTCGGTACGAGGATTCTAGTCTGAGGCCGTCTTGCCGTCGCGGCGTATCGAGTGTCGTCCAGCGCACAGCTGCTGCTGCTGATCGAGCAAGCAGGCAGGCGTTCGTGGGGAGGGTAGGGTTTGATTAGAAGGAGAAGGGATGCGGCCGAGGTGATGGTCGATAGAGTGCAAGGGCTGGCTGGCTAGCCAGGCAAGGGTCGCGGCCGCGCCCGTCTCGCGAAGAAGCGGAGCGGGCCCGGATGGCTGGCTGGCTGGCTGGCTGGCGGGCTGGCGGGCTGGCGGGCTGGCGGGCATGGCATGACCGAGGGCAGAGGCTGGCTGGCCAACACCTCGCCGCCCTGTCTCTCTTCTGGGCGGGCGGGCTGTGCCGGCGTGGCTGGCGCGCGGCAAGCAGACAGGCTGGCCCGACAGTCCAGCAGAAGAAGAGAGCTAGCGCTGCTCGATTTTTCCCGCTGCCTGCGTGCGTGCGCGGGTGTGCCAAGGCAGCCTTCGGCGAGGGCTGCTGCGTGCGCTCGACCTCCTCCGTTGGCGGGCGGATCCGTCGGGCGTGGGCGGCCGAGCAGGCAGGCAGCCTCGGGGTGGCCTGAGCGCAGCAGAGGGGGGGCAGCAGTTGGTTGTTGGCTGCTCCACCTCGCCCGCCACCCTAGTCGCCGATAGCCTGCCCCAGCAGCTTGGTCTGGCCTGCCCTGGGCCTGTCCTGTCTCCGCAGTAACCCCGCAAGCTGGCACCAACGGCGTCTCGTCCCTCTCTCCCGCCTCTCTTGCCCTCGCGGTGTGACGCTGCTCGATCCGCTCGACGGGAAGCAATCGACTAGTTCGTGGCCTCCCTCGAGCCTCTGCTTGCCTTGTCTGTGCGCCACCACCACCACCACCACCACCACCACCACCACCAACATCATCGTCGACGCCAACGGCCGTCCTTGCATCGCCAGACTGAAGCTGCCCTTCCCAGTCCCACGAATCCAGACATCACCCTCTCCTGCCGCCGCCGCCGCCAACGCACCCTCTCCTCCCCGACGCAACGATGGCGTCGTCCAAGCCCGAGATGCTGCTGCAGATGTACACCGACGTCCAGTGCCCGTGGTGCTGGATCGGCTCGCAGCGCTTCAAGCAGTTTCTCGCATCGCCCGCCTACCGCGACGAGGTGGCGCCCCACGTCCGCACCGTCGTGCGCATCGAGCCCTACCTCCTCGACTCGCGCCTCCCCGCCACCTCGTACGACACCCCAGACGGCGTCTACGACGCGCTCTCCACCACGCCCTACGACAAGAACAAGCCCCCCTCGAAGAAGGAGTACTGTAAGTCCGAGTCGTTGCCGGCGACATCAGATCCCTCCTGACTCTCCTCGCCTGATCACCGCTTCTACCCCTGAAATCACTTCGGCCGTCGACCCTGACAGACGGCACCAAGTTCGGCGCAGGCCTCGACGCCTTCGACCGCCGCATCTCGGCCGCCGCCACCGAGGTGGGCCTGCCGCCCTTTGACTGGCACAGCGAGGATGGCAAGGTGGGCGCGACGTGGGACTGCCACCGCCTCGTGCTGCGCGCCTCGAACCTCGACGACCAGGACCCGCAGCTGGCCGACGGCGACCCGCAGCGCTGGGTGCACCACTCGCGCCAGCTCCGCCTCATGGACCGCCTCTACGCCGACTTCCACGCAAACAGCAGGGACATGTCGGACCGCTCCTACCTCGCCCCCCTCGCCGCCGAGCTCGGCCTCTTCGACGACGAGGCCGCCGCAGCCAAATGGCTCGCATCCGACGAGGCAGAGTACGAGCTCAGAAACAAGCTCAAGATCGCAGAGATGAACGGCGTCATGCAGATCCCCTTTTACATTGTCAATGTGAGTGCCCGTGCGGAGTGGCCCGCAGCAAGGCCAAGCAAGACTGGGGCCTGCCAAAGATGACGTGGATCCCGGCTGACCCTCGTCTACCTCCCCACCGTCTATCGACTTCCGCATCTTGCCGCGCCGCGCTGCCACACAGGACGGAGCAGACCACCTGACCGGCTGGACGGGCGACCACGCCGAGTTCCTGCGCGTCATGAAGATGCAGGTGGCGGCTTTTGCCCGGTAGGAGGCGAGGTGGTTCGAGCCTGCCATCGACCCATCGCGCTGCTGCAATTCCAGGACCAGCGACGGCGACGACGCTCTTGACCCGACTGCCCGACAGCCTGTCCCTCGTCGACGACGCTCTTGACTCGACGGCCTGACACCCTGTCCCTCGTCTGGCCTGTGCCGCCTTGCCCGGCCTCTATCCTGTGGAAATGCGTTGGATGAGATGGTGGTTTGGAACAGAGGAGAGTGCCCTGCAGACGAGCCTACTTTACAGGATGCGAGTGCATGAGGAAATCACGTGCAGACCAGCTGCACGTGCAACATATCCTCCCCCTCACCCTCGGCGCCCCCTCTTCACTTGAAGGCGAGGATCTCGGGCAGGTGGCCGGGCAGGTCCTTTGCGAGGCCGAGCTGCTCGGCCTTTGTGTCTTCGAGGACGCGCTGCCAGAGGCGGCTGCGTGCGAGGATGTCGTCGCACTCGGGCCGTCGGATATCGACAATGTTGCGGTTGACGTACTTGCCGCCGAACTTGGCGCTGAGGCCGGGCGAGGGCTGCTTGGCCTTCTCCCTCTTGCCGCCATTGGCCACATCGCCGCCGTTGGCGCCCGCGTGCTTGGCGTCGTCGAGGGGCGAGGCGGTCGACGAGTCCGAGTTGGGCAGGCCGAGGTCCGGGCAGAGGGCGGCGTGGATGAGGACAAAGGCGCCCTGGCGCGGCGTGATGCTGAAGCGCGAAATGAGGCGGCGCAGCAGCGGCGTGACGAGCGGCGTCAGCTGGAAGTTGGGGTTGTTCCAGATGTTGCTCCCGACAAAGCCCGGGTGGACGCCGTGGGCGATGACGTGGCGGTAGTCGTCGCTGCGCGACAGGCGCTCCTGCAGCTCGACGGTCCACATGAGCAGGCGCAGCTTGGTGTCGCCTGCGGGCGAGCGGGTGGGGCGGGGCAGGTTTCAGAGGCGGCGAGGGGATGGTGGACGACTCGGGGTCAGCGATGCGGGCGAGGGGCAAGCAAGCTTGCTTGCTTGTTATGCCACGCCGTCTGCGCACTCACAGTACCACTGGACACCGCTCTGGCCTCCGGGCGTGTGCTTCTCGTTGTTGAAGTTGGCAAAGTCGAGCTGGCCGCCTGCGTGGAAGCAGGAGCAGGTGTTGACGATGCGGGGCGCGGCCGAGTAGCGCATGCTGGGCGGGCGGGCGGCACGAGCGGCAGGGGGAAGCACGGCAGGCAACGAGGCGGGCGCGGGGGGGAGGGTGTAGACGACGGACGGCC